ATCGCTGAAGTTTCTTGGAAAGAATTTCTACGGGAAATTAACAAACAAGCAGATACGTATCAATATTAACAGCAAGAGATTTCTCACATTCTCGGCTGTAACAGCAAAATTTCCCATATATAAGCTCAGCACACCATTTTTTTTCTCTCTGTTGAATGTGCCAGAGAATGCTCTCCTAATGTTGCTCCCATGTCCTGGCGAATTTCTTGAAGTGTCATTTCTTTTTTAACAAAATATTTGATCACAGTATGTAGTTCGATCTTTTCCATGACGTTTGACACTGCTCACTTCTTTCCTTCTAAAATACACAAAATAAGCTCGTTAATATATATATTACGTACTGTGTATTAATAAAAAGATTCAAACTTAATATATTATCAGAACAAATCACACATTCCACTTTGTTCTGCATGTTGTGACCTGAACTTCTTTGGGGGTGGGTGAACTTGAGTGATTACATTGCAAACTTTGCATTTTTTGTTCTGTGGGTCGAAGTAGTGAACCCACATTTTATCCATAGTTACGAATCTATTGAAGTTAGGCCTGCATTAATTTCGGAGTTTGTGTTGAAGCGTTGTTTGTGAAATTAGGTCGACAATGATAAAACTTAGTGTATGAAAAGGTTGCGACATTTTAGTTTACAATTTAAAACGTTTAACTATATATCTCAAACTTTCCATCAAAATAGCACTTAGATCTTAACACTTCTAGTACTAAAACACGTGTGATAAGAAGCTTCATTCAACGGTAAAATATTATAATACATCCACAAGAGATGTTGTTGCTTGCCGTACACACTAAAATAGAAGAAAATTATCACTTGATTGAGAAAAAATAGCCCCCCCTAAAAACAATTAACATTTTCCTTTGTATTATAATGACTAAAATGTAAGTAGATAACAAAGATAGATTAATTTTAAGAGGAAACAAGGCAACTGAATGCAATAACTGTATTCTATAGGAAGAATAAGAGATACGTCAAAATTTCTTCATTTATTATCCTATACAACAATTAGTCATAATAACAGTTTTGCACAAAATATAATTCCAAAAATTACAGTAGTGATGAATAGGTTAAAACATATTCAGGAGGGGTGTCTGAAAACTTCATGGACCGACTTATAAAGAAAAGAGACACTGGTTCACCTATGGTTTATTTTTCAACATAATCTCCTCCTGAGTCTATAAATTTGTGACAGCGGTGATCAAAAGACTTTATGCCCTTCTGAAAGAATTCTTATTCTTGGTTCTCAGTCCATGACTGGACGGTAAGAGATCATCATCACCTGACATATTCGACCTTTCAGAAAGATTTTTAAGGTTAGGGAAGAGAAAAAGTCATTTGAAGCTAAATACACTAAGTAAGAGAATGTGATTGAGTAATTCGAATCAGCACCATGGATAGTATTCAAAGCAACACGTGATTTGTGATCTGGGGCATTGTCCTGATGGAAGAACACATCCTTTTCTTTAGCAGTTTTTCTTTTCCTTGATTTCTTTATGCATATTGTTGATTAAGGATGCATAGTATATCTCCTGTAACTATTTGACTCTTTTACAAATAATCAACTAGCAAAACGCCCTTGGCATCCCAAAAAGTGGATGCCATGACCTTCCCAACAGAGGATTGTGACTTCAACTTTTTTGGGGTGGGTGAACTAAGATATTTCCAATGCAAACTTTGCATTTTTGTCTGTAGGTTGAAGTAGTGAGCCCACCTTTCATCCATAGCTATAACTTTATTGAAACCTTTGGAGTAAGTATTGACGTTCAACTATTCGGATCCATTTCTATTCAGGTGACAAGATTTTTGGAGCCCATCAGGCACTAACCACACTGATGCCCAAACTGTCATTCACAATGCTTGCTGCAATACTTCCACCGATTCCCACTTCCTCTGCTAACTTTCTAATGATAATGAACCTTATTTACAGTTTCTGTTGTGATAGATGTTGAGGGCCGACCTGACATTGGATCACCTTGACATGATTGTTTACCGCACTTAAACTTAACACACCACTTTTTACACTGTTGAATATGTCGGAACATCCTCTCCTAGTGTTGCTTCCACGTTCTGGTGTATTTCTTGTGGCGTCATTTTAACAAAAATATTTGATCACGGCACTAAGTTCGATCTTCCCCATGACGTTTAACACTGCTCATTTCTTTCCTTTAAAAATCCATAACACACAAAATAAGATCGTTAAGTTGTATGTTAAGTGTTGTTTACTCATAAAACGGTTCAAACTTAACATTGATCAGAAAAATCATCAATCTAATTGTTGTTTTTTAGGTCGGCCCATGAACTTTTCGGACAATCCTAGTATAGCTTCTATCATTTCGTCAAATGAAATCCAATTACTATTTGGTTTTTGAAAAAGTCGAGAAGTTAAATATTTGCCGAATGATATATTTTGTGAAAGTTTTAGAAAATTTATATTTTGATTATTTGCTATTCACAATTCTAACAGAACTGAAAGTTTCTAATAAAACAGTAACGAAAAATAAATAAAAAATAACTACGGAATACTCTATGTTGTAACGTTAGCAGTAAACTACGTTTTTTTTATGATATTCGCAGCTGATTGTGCGAAGTAATATCGATACTAGTTACTTCTACGAGCAGAACATTCTTCATGATTCCTGACTAACGGTTAAGGCGTTAGATAAATGTTATTATCCGTGAACGGTCTTTGTTTTGTAGAAATAGAAAGATCATTCGGCAAACATAGTGTGAAAAGCTTAATCACTAAATGAGTAAATTGGAGACTTGCTTGAAGCTGAAACCGTTGCCACTACTCTAGTTAACCGATTAAGTTAGTACCAACAGAAGTAACAGTATCGGTGATAGTATCCAGTACTTGTTACTCCTGATATTACTTAATTTAAATTATTAGTTTGCTAGTTCCATAAATTAAGTGTAAATATTAACAGTTAACTTGTAAGAGCATCGTACTACTTGCAACTTGCTGTCTTCTACAACCGTATAAGTTCTTACCTTTCTAGACCTGCCACGACAGACCTGGTGTATTGTATTTTGAAATTTTAGATTCCCATTGCCATCAATATTTAAATATCGCGCATCAAATTAATTATGGCTAGTCAAAGAAGACTTCACAGTCATATAGTAAATTATCAAGAGTCGGATGATGACGAGAAAAATTCAGGTAAAATTAAGCATAAAATAGTGAAATATGTAATTGTAAATAGTAAAGCGTTATGTAAAATGGCTGTATTTGTAACTTGTAATTCAATAATAAGGTTAAGCTTCATATTTTGTAACATTTATGAATATGATAGTTACATTTTTCAAATGAAAAGACACGATAGACTGTATACTGTAGTTTATTATTATTAATCATCTATTACTATCCTCAAAATATGTAAGTTATCACTTGGTTTAAATTTAAGTTTTAACTTGGGCAAGTTCGTTAGGGTTAGGCTGTCTGAGTATTTAAAACGTTTTTCATTCAATTTTTTCCGTTTTCGTGAATGGAGTGAAGGACTAATAAAGTAATGGGTAGTGGGATCTATTGATTCAGCCAATTTCAATTACCCTAAATTGCTTGGAGTATACAAAGGCAAATGGAAAGGTTGGAAATAAAAAAAATATTATTTGAAATCTAGGAAGTTAGTCGTGCAAAGAATAAGCTAAGGAGTGGTTTGTGCAGTTGAAAATATTTCAAAAAGTTTCATAGGTTTATGGATGTGAAGGGCAATATTTAAGTGTTTAAGATGGATTGAAAAACAAATCAGGAGACTGTTATAATATTTATATTAAGTGAAAAAAAGACACACACCAAAGCTGGGAATAACTATAAATCAGATAATAGTTTGTCCAGTATAACAAAAGATGGAAATCACAGGCAATTAAAAAAAACTTTGTGGTATTTGACTAATAAAAGTTGTATCTGGAGGGTCCTGATCTCCATCCTTCAAAAAAAATTTAATTACAATATAAATAAAAGAATATTTGAAATAATTTAGTATCCTCCTAAAAATGTCTTGAAATACCGTGTTGTTGCTGTGGCTAGTAAAATTAATGAAAGATACCGGTGCAACTGCTAATTTCAGATATTTATTTAGCAGCTCCATTGCTTAAAACCTTTTAAATGTTTGCTTATGTCTATTGCAGTGGCAATATCTTTATGATATTTAAATTGTTTTCCTAACTTGTCTAATACTCACTTATTTAACTGGATATATATATATATATATATATACCAAAGAATTGCCCCAGAAAAGCTAAAAAGTACTTGATGTTAAACATGAAGCCAAGAAAATAAATGACTTGATCACATTTCCTCATTAACTACATGTCTAACAGTCACTGTTTGCAAATCACTGAAGCACTATATATCTAGTGTTATTTAAATCACTGTCTTCATTGACTTCATCTTCCCAAGGTCCTACATATATCCTAATTAATTTCTTCTGCCTAATTTTTCCTGGTTCCTGGCCACCTAGTGTTCACAATCATAGCTGCCAAATTTCTCTTTTCATTATCAGCTCATGATGTTGCCTTTACTTCATTGCATTTATGACTGTCAAAATTTATTCATCTCGGGGGTTGTGGTGTCAGAGGTTTTGATGGAGTAGAGTTTCAAAGGAAGGCAAAATCATTCACTTATTTTAAGTAGAATTAGTTTTATTTATTAAATCACCAAAACGTCTAACAAATTAATTATTACAGTAAGGTAACAAAATTGCAACAGCAAACATTAGCAGAGCAGTAACAGCATGTATCCCTGCTAATGATGTTTTCACTGAGAAATTTACAATTTCAGTTTAAATACTAAATTTTCATGACCAGTCAGGGATTGAAATATTACATTCCTGCATTAGTTGGCTTTCCAAATCAGAAATAAATGGTCCATCTGTATTCCTTTGGTTATGATCAATGAAAGTGAACATTTTGCATGGATTAAATAAAAAAATAATTCATGAGGAAATGTAACTTTTTCCCTGCCAGTGTAGAGCAACTTAAACTTGTAGTGATGTGTAGAGGGAGTCATATGCATCATGTGATAGTAGTGCTTTCCTATTGGTGGAGAGGTGATGCATGATGATTTGCATGAGAGATGCATTGGAACTGTGGATTCCAACAGAAGGAGGATGATGGCTTGTGGCATGTGTTTCTGACAAAAGCTCACATATAGAGGACAGCACAAAATGAGAAAAGCTAATCTTGTGAGAGGAGGGAAGTACCTGTTAGAAATGCATTTTAATTATAACATCTATACTGAAACAAATAAATACAGTGCCCTCCTTCTGCAGCTGGCATGGGCCCATAGAGACTGACAGAAAAGGAGGTGAGCACAGATATGTATCAAGTGCCCTTCTCCCACAGCTGGTTTTGACACATTGAGTCTGATAGTAGAGAAAGTGAGCACACAAGGTACAGTCTGAATGAGTCCCAAACTTACTGCATACACTAGCTGTCTGACATCTTGTGTGCAAGTATTTGGATGACCATGTATTTATTCCATGTACTTTTGCCTCTTCCCTTCTCCTTTACGGATGAAAAGTATACTCTGAATGAGACAAAATGCAGTCTCTCATGGGTTTGCCCCTATGGAACCCCTGCCATTGGGTGTCACACCCCATGGGCTTCCTTTGGATGCTTTTTAAAGAGAGCTCATCTTTGCACCAGTCCCTCCATCAATTCAACATGGGCTTTTAGCTAAACTGTTTAGAGGTGAGTATTTGTTTTGGAAGTTAACATTTTACTTATCTGAAAATGCATTTCCAGTAGATACTCACCTCCACCTACCTTCCCACCCATCTTCCCCACTTTATGGTACACATTTCTTCATAGCCTCATCAAAGATTGAGGATTCACAAGTGCAAAGTGTAAGAGTACTCATTGTGCACGGAGGTGTGTCACACTCCTATTGATGAAGGTTTCTTCAAATTCATGTCAAATTGGGTGGGAATTTTTACAAGGCTAGTGGCTTGTAAATCTTTGGCAGAACATGCAAACACATAAGGAAGAAAGCTAAGTTGTTTGGAGGTGAGTATCTATTGGAAATACATTTTCAGGTAAGGAAAATGTTAACATCCAAAGCATGAAGATTATACATATTTAAAATCCCTGCTCTTGCTGCAGGTGCAGCCTATTAATTTGTTTGGATACTTCTCTTAAATATGGTGCTGGTTATGTGGAATTCCTTGGTAACTGCACCCTGGTTTGCCATTAACCATCTTAACCATGGCATGTTCATAATACACTATCAGCAGTTGATAAGGAAGACAAAATCAAGGGATGATAGACCTACCTTTGAAGTTTTGCCATAACAGTCAAGAGAATAGGCAAGCTCCTACAGCCAGATTTGAAGGGTTTAACATTTGTCAGGTTAGCTTAAGATATACTGCAGACTTGCAGCTATATATACTCCATAATTCATATATACTCTACAAGATTGTGTCAGTCTCTTTGATAACCTGCTGCCATTATTACTGGCAGATAGCAACAGATTGACCCTGATCACACTGTGTCAGGACAAGGGGATGTCTGTCTCTTTGATGACCTGAGTGAGAATTATCATGTCCAATATCCAAGAAGCCACTGTAGTAACATTGTTTTTCAGTATTAAGCTACATGGTAAATATCTGGAGATTTTAAGTAAAGCTGCTAATAAACCTGGTAACTTTTATTAGAATTGAAAATTAAGTGTAATAAGTAGTGTGAAATTGTGAAGTGAATAAAAAACTTTTAAATTCATATCAATATGATGAATGGATAAAGATAGATTGTTTTTTTAGACCATTTCCAAAAATGTCTGACACAGAAGAGATTAAGCTGTTGAACTGTTAGTTAATGAACTGTAATAACTGTATAGTAATTGGGTACTTATCACATGACATCTTGAATACATCTCACTGTGAATAGCTACCGTATTTTTCAGTGTATACCCCAAAATTTGATGTCAAAATCTGCTTGCGTCCTATATAATAATATATATGTATATATACAATATACATAAGCCATGTGTAAATATATTTAAATAGCATGCATAGTTTAGTTCAATTGAACGCGTTATTTATAACAATAGTAGGTTTTTTTTCTTTTAAAAACATAACTATTTATAATGCTCCCTAAATAATAAAAAAATAAATTACAGTGAAAGCAATGAAGATTTTGTAGGTTTTGAACCAAACTAAATAACAGTAAACCTTTTTTTGATATACAGTATTTTCTTATTTTGATGTTTTGAGCTCTTTTGTGTTTAGAACAATATATACTAATTTTTAAAGTATCAAATTGAATTTTTGTTCAATAAAAATCTTTCAAATGTGACTGTAGCTTTTTCCCCAAAACTTTGTCTTCAAAATAAGGGTGTGCCCTATACACCGGTGCATCTTATATTGCGAAAAATACGGTACTTCATAGCTGAGAAAGCAAAGAATGCCACTTTCTTCCTACCATTGATTTTTCAATGTAGTGACCATTCTAATTACTGGCAAAGCATTTAATCCAGTCATAATGCTCAGAAAGTCGCTGTTGGTATCTTGGCCATTTACCAGAGCAGACAGACTGCTCCTCTTCTGGTGCTTCCTCATCTGATTTCTCACAAACATCCAGATACATACTGTGCAGTTTTCCCTCCTCACCAGCTGAGGCAAGGTCATATGCACAATGATTTTGTCATCAGTCAACCTACTTTTCTACCTTTCCGTCCTATAGTGATTAGTTCTTGAAAGGCTCATCAGTGATATAGGTTGTTGATGTATTTAAAGAATTATACATATGTCACTAACCAGTATAAATTGTAGCTTACTTTTTTGAACTGTCAACAGACAACATATGGACCAGTACAGCCAAAACTGAGTTGCATAGTGCTGAAGGTATAAACCATAACAAAACCTAGTTGCCAGGATCAAGCTTTAGTTTAATTACTGTTTTCTAATAGCACCTCTTTCCATATATGGCCACTTTACCTATTTACTTAAATGAAAATTCATGTACATTAGATATCCTAGAATGCATATATTCCATAAATTCCTGTGAACATTGTGACACATTTGAACTGGATGTAGGGCATATATCAGATCGACAGAAGATGTACATTTTATCTGAATATAAGGAGATTGTTGCTTAATTGTGTAATATGTATGCTATTACATCAGTTGGCATTCAGTGCAATCAATTCAGTCAGTGTTCTCA